TTTTGTCGTTCACTCGTGTACACATGTGTGGTCACCAAAAAATCCCAACGGGGGCATCTTTTCCCCCAATTAACAGTATTGTTAAAAGGAGAAAGTGGAAAAATCTGAAAAAATGAAGTTTACCTTGATTGTGTGAGATATCACCCCAATTGGTGACATTTCACGAGATGTGTTATAATCCCCCGCCCAGAAAAAAAACAACTAGCCTTATTCTTTCATTTTAAGAACCTTTTCTATGCATAAGAATGGGAAGCCAGTAACAAGAAAGAGTTTTCATTCCTGACGCAGTACCTATATCACAACAGGCGCTCAAACTCATGGGCGCACTTGTAGCCACCCTCTTAGTCGATATCTAAGCAAAGCCGAGATTTATGCCTGACGTTGCTCAATCACTTTTTCTGCTAGAAGGAAGTGCTAAGGTTAAGAGAAAAATAAAATAACCCCTCCCTCTGAGCAATTCTTATAGAACAGGATTTATATCTAATTACAACTCGCCAATTCCATAGCGAGCAATTGAGTCGCGCAAAAGGGAATTCCTAATTTCCTTTATAAAAACACTGAATTGTAAAAGGTAGAATTAGAGAGCGGGTTATCAAAGAAAAGAATCTTTTTTTTTTTTTTTTATACTTCGCACGTCTGTAGCATGTAAGCCCTTTAGAGTGATCTGACTGATGTGTGATAAATTTGGATTCCTCATTTTGAAGTGAACAGATAAGGTCAAAGGACGAGATCCACTTTTATTTTTCACTTAAATAATACCCTAAATATACGGGTATACCGACTTTCTGGACATCCCCTAATTTAGGTGTAGAACCATCTCCATTCCGCATTACCCCCCCTGGCTACACCTCCCTGAAAAAATTAATTTATTTGTCATACTGTATATAATAAAATAAAAAGAAATGTTTGCATAATTTCATCATTCTTCTTTTGCAGATTTGTATTTAAATTTTTTTTTTTATCGTTTTTTCGTTAAATCCAAGGGAGCGTCATTTGAACGTTCTTAACGCTCTGTGCTCCTTTTCTATAATGAGAAGTTCCTCTATGTTTCTCTTCTTGTGATTATTCGTCAGGGCTGTTTTAAATTTTCTTCATGGAGCATCCGCCATTTAGAAGCTTTAGTAAAGGCAAATATATTGTTCTATGCACAGGTTGCCTCACAACAAGGTGTTCTACACACGTCTAACGTTAAGGTGATAATCTCTGCTCCTGTCCGCGGACTCAGTTAAACACATCTTACATGCTTCAAAATGAAGAGCAGTGATCCCTATATATATATGCCGCTCACTACACCCCATATTGCTACTGCAAGGCTAACTCGTTAGAAGAAAGTGAATTAACATGGATGCCACCACGTGGTTACGAACCTGTTCACATGAATATACGGTAAAAGAGAGAGCAACAGAATTCTAACATTTTGCTTGTACTAACCGTTTGGAGATCTTTCTTTCATTCCTCTTTTTTCTCATTATTGTAGCTACCCACTGGTAGACGCGTATGTATACTTTCGTTCCTTCCAATTAGTGCACACGGGCTGTTCATTTTTTATACGCTTGGCACTCCGTGCAACGGCACTAACCATCTTTACAGCAATTTTTTCGCATTTTCCCTCACTATGTTCTACTGGAGAACCACTTTAGCAGTCGCATACTATTCCCCCAATAAAATTGCGAAACTAACAGAAGCAGCCAAACTGAGAAGTCACAACCCAAGGCATGCAAGTAGACGAAATTTAAGCGTCTTCATCCCAAGATTAAAAAGATGCTTCACAGAGGATAACAAGTTACGCACACTCTTTTAAAAGATTAAGAAAAATGAAATGAGAAAAAATACAGCTTCCATCCACTACAATTTTTGAGCCCCCATCAAATATCCCCCTTTTTTATTTGCCAAATGATGATGATCGAAGAATTAAAGAACTTAGCAGAAAAACAAATCAACGACCACACACACAACCTTCGGCACAGAGTAACTTAAATGATTTGCAGGAAAAACGCGGCGTCAGAAAATATTTCGCAAATAAAGAACAGCTCAGTTCATTTACTTTTTCTTTTACTCAGAATAGTCTGTTTGCACCCTGCGCGTGTTGGAATTTGTTGTAGAAATTTATGTAATGAACACCTCATTGACATAATGCAATACGCAAGGTGAAAAAAGAAGAAAAATCATAATAATTTCACTACACCAGAAGTGTATGTATACACCTATGTGAAAATGAGGAAGAAGAACATTCCGCTTAGCAGACAATTCTTCGCCCCATTTCCGGTGTGACAAAATACATTCAAAGGAATAAATATCCATATTTTGCAACCAAAAATTGTGAGACCACTTTTGGGGAAATATTTATGCGAAGTCTGGGAACGTGAAAAAGAGGAAGGTACTTGAGGAGCTTTCAGAAAAAAAGAAATAGAGAAGACATTTTCATCTTCCCCCTCCTCAAAAATACATTTCGCATTTGGACATGAAAACATGTCTGTTGTTGCTGCGCGTAATGCATCAGTAGTTATAACGTGTGGTATGAAAGAACTGACCCTTGGAGAATTTTCCAACTGGGGCGTTTATCGTCAACAATACTTCCTATTTTCCCAAATGATAGGCATAAGGGGAACACTTGCCCCACAGGTAATTCCCAATTGAAAGGTGTAGTTTTACCACCATCTTCCTTTCCCCCCACAAAGTTAACGTCAGCGTAGACTTCTATTCAACTTAAATGCAGAAGAATGCTATAAACGTAGCTACAGGCATCCTGTAATGAGAGAACTTAGAGCTTGGACGTTTTTACGAAGCGCGAGACGCATCCCCAGCCCGAATCACACAACAACAAAGCTCTCCGCTTCGCTCAAGGTGCACAGACGAATACTTCTAATCGGTGTAGTTGAATGAAATATAGAGGTTTCTATGATTTGCCGGAAAGACGTAGAATTCTCAACGCCTTTACTAAGAAATCAATAAAGAGTTCTTTTAAAAAAGAGAAATTTACTGCACAAGAATTTCCTATCATCTTACTCTCACCAGATAATCACGAATTTACTATTCAACATGTAAATATTAAACATAAAATTTGAAGTAAACGCTAAGATTAAATATTAAAATGAAAAAATCTTAGGAGAAAAAAAAAAAAGAAGAAAAAGAAAAAGGTACAGGCAAAACTTAGGAGTCATTCATTCTAGTAAAACTATTTTAAAACTGTAAAAAAGAAATAAGAAGTCTTCTCATGCTTGTCTGTGCTTCTGAAATTAATACCTCAGCGCAAGAACAGTATATGAAGTGGTCCATATATGTGTGACTTGTGCACCTGTTTGTATGAAGCATACCCTTGGCGCCGGCCCACATAATGGATAAATCCGTATTCATTTATTCACACAGAGATTAATAAACCTGTGCACATGTGCATAGACTCTTCTACCTATATGCACAAAGTGCCGTCATTGTTTACTTATTATGCTTGTGGGGTCTCTGGAGTCTCAGGAGTCTCTGGAATTTCTGGAGTCACTGGAATTTCTGGAGTCTCTGAAGTTTCTGGAGTCTCTGGGGCAGCGGGAGCCTCGGTTGTACCAAGGGTTTCAGCATTTCCCTCTACGACAGGGTTAGAACTTTCCGCGTCGGAGGTTTCATTTGTACCCTCTACCGTAACCTGCGGTGCCTTTCTGTTCTTGTAGATTCCGAATCCTAGTGCTCCTCCCACTAAGAGAGTTAAAGCTGTGACTGCTGCTGATATTATGCACATTTTTTTATTGTTTTTCTTCTTTTCAATTTGTTGGTCAATTTGGTCAATTGCCTTTCCGGCGTCATCCTTAGGTGAGGGTGTTGCTGGAGAAGGGGTTGGAACTGGTGGGGCGCCTCCTGGGCCTGATAATTTAGATGATGATAGGGAAGCGCCGGAGCCCGAGGCGTTTATAGAATTTGAAGAGTTACCTGATACGGCATTGGAGAAGCCTGAATTGCTTGAATTAGCAGATGAGTTCGCAGGGTGGCCTCCGAAATTACCACTGCCATTGCTGTGATTGTTGTGTACGTGGGGCTTCTTATTCACAGGATCACATTGACATTCTGGGGTTAACAACTTAACGGCAAGGAGAAAAGTGAAAACTGAGCATACTTTAGTGAATTTCATTTTTAAGAATGCGTTAATAAACGAGGTAGTAAATAAAAGATTTAGTTTTATTATTTTTGGCCTTATTGGGGGGGTTATTTTGGCGGGCTATTAAAAAAGCGCTTATGGAGATGGATTGCGTTTAGTTTATATATAATTTTGATCTTTGAATGCTAGTTTTGTTTTTTTACTTTATTTTTTATTTTTTTCTTTGTGTTTTTTTTTGTTTCTTTTTTTTTTTCTTTTCGTATCGTTTATTAAATAATTTAAAATAATATAATACTAGCGTTAACGTATCAAATAACAATTTGTGTTGCGTAAAGAAGCTTATAGTGAAGAAGGCACGTAAAATAATAGTAAAGAAAGAATGTTAAAAGAAAAAATTGTTAAATTATGAATTTAAAAAATTGGAAATGTTTGTTTAATAAAACGCGTTTCCTTAAAGAAAAGTGGATAGAAAGAAATTCTAAAACATTATCTCTAGAAAGAAAACAAAGCGTTAATAATGCATAAATAAAAAAATGAACCGTACTGCTGTACTGTACGCACTGTGATATGTATCATTATGCAAATATATGATATAATAGTAATAGTATAATATAATAAAATATTATTATATATTATTTATTATTATATTATGTGTGCATATATACCTTTAAAAAAACTAAGCGGAAGGGTTTAAAAAAGTAATTTTTTTTTCTTAATTGAATGGGTAAAAAAAACCCCCTTGAAGGAAGCAAATCTTCTTGTGATGATTTGAGTTTTTTTTTTCTTTCCTCCGACACTTTTTTATAGTGATAATACAGGATGATAAATCAATATAGATATGTAATTTTTAGGCACTTGCTTATTTTATTAGTTCGTTTTTTTTAGTTTTTCTTCGCTATGCTAGGTTTTATTTTATTTAAAACTTTGCTATTTGATCACAGAAAGATAAAAATAAGCATTGGGTAATATATTGAATTATTCATCCATTCCTCCATTTCATTTATTTACTTCGTGGGATATGCTAAGCAGCACATTTTAAAATGTTAAACTATAAATATTACTGTGGCAGCTCACCACTTTTGCGCACCTAAGAAAAGGTTTGCCAAGGTTCTTTACGATTTAAAAAGAGGAATAAATAACCACTATAGCAATATTAAAACCGTAAATCTTTGCTTAAGTGTGCATGCAAAGGATGGTAGTAGGTATATCTATTTATAGTGCTATACGAAATCCATATCGATTATTTATTATACTCCTAGCAACACTTTCCCCACTGCAAGGAATTTTTTTTTCTTGTGTGTTACTTTGCTGTAGTTATTTATAAATGCTATATATAACAGCACTAGTACCTCTATTTTAGGAAATTATTATTTTTTCTCTTTCTGTTATTTTTTTCTCATACTAGAAGAAGGATGAGAAAAGAGGAACAGGGGGCTATGGCCAATTCGTTAACTCACTTTAAGGTAAAATTTTGTTTACCCATTAATTATTTTAGAAATTGTTTTATAATTTTGTATATAAAAAATATTTGCTAAAAATTGCGAATCGAATCATTCGTAAAATAAGCGAAATTTGAGGCTCGAATTAACCCCTTATTTGGTGCGCTGATTTAAAGAAGAAATTTAGCAACACAAATTAAGGCTATATAAATAAATGCTGTTAATTCCCCCTTGTACCATTTTGTGCCATGAAAATATGTAACAAACCGTGACTCCTGCTGTGTCTCGTTACATCCTAAAGAAGCCAGAGCCGTGTCATATTATTTTATTAAGCATGTGAATACGTGAAAGGAAAAGGAAAAGAGAAAAGAAATTGTGTGCTACTTAACTGAGGCCTTACATATCTTTACTCAAACCTATGGTACCTGTATCAGCGAAGTTTTTATGTTCCCCTATTTAATATACATTTGAACGAATTTGTATTAATCGCAGATAGGAACCTATATAAAATGTATATAATCAGCATTTCTACATTTAAAATGTATCATTCTAACCTTGTCATCAATTTGTTGCGCTTAAGTAAGCTGCATTATTTACTTACCTGTCTGCCGTTATAGAAGGGGATCTACCCTCCCCGCCTTTCCCCCTCTGCAAATGTTCATTCTATGGTGTGAAAAGTAAGTAATCCCAATTTATTATGTGTCAATATAACTAAGAAAACACACAGTTCAACATTGCTAATAGAAAGTGAAGACCTCTCCGAGTAGATAAATTCCATAAACTGTTAATATGCAATCCATTGCGTATTTCACGGAATGTGCATTTATACAAATCGTCTTTCATGCTTAATACGCCTTTTCGTTCTGTTGTTGGAGCTGGTAAACATAGATGGGGCAGGTAATTCTCCCGTTGCCATCTGGTGCGTAATGTGGAATAAGAAGGAACACTGCCAACCTTCACATAGTCCGTGTGACTCTTATGCCACAGTTAATTCCTCCTATTGTTGTTCACAAATTGAAAAGTTTATGTCAAATAGGAAGAGAACATCAATGAGCACCTGCATGTGTTGCATGTTCATGTCGTATCGTACGCAGTGTTCCCTCTGATTAGTCTGTGTGGTAATTAGCCAAACGGTAAATCTCTTTAAGTCCCTATATTATTCTTGGAGAAGGACGGATCCATTTTAGTTACCCCCCTCCCAGAAATGTGATAAATTAGAACCGCCAGTGACCTTGCGTCTGTGCGTTGTTCCCCATTGTATACTCTGACTTTTCTCTGTCTATGTAGAAAGGCGAGTAATATATATTATCACATTAATGGAATAACCTCATGTAGGGACGTTTAACCCTGGTCAAGTAAATCGAACCGGTTGACCAGAAGAAGAAAAAGGAGATAGACATAAAACTTGCCAGCGCTTGGTGGCTAAGAGGAAATACGAACATGTGAGCTGTATTATATGGCTAGCTTCACTTTTGTCTTTCTTTTTGTTTTAGTTTTTGTGAATCATTTCGTTTCAGTCCATTACAGTGCGCTGCAAGCTCTGTATGTACATAAAGGAGCATTTAAATTATCCACTGCTAGAGGATTGCTTATCCGTCTCCTTAACCTCTATGTAATATGGCGTTTATGCCATCTTTCTTCTGCGCCCGCAGTGCGACATCAGACAATCTGTGTATCTCTTTGGATACGATTAGAAAAAATGACGAATCTGCTTCCGCAGCAGACATATTACGTGTATTGTATGCATTAGCAGAAGTGGAAACTTTATAATTCACCGCCTCCTCTTTTCACTTCTTAATCTGCGCATCCTGGATTTTCCATTTTTTTATTTGTCACAATAAGCATTATATCTGGACATTTATGCAGTTAACAATGCTGCCATATTTTTTCCATAAAGAGGAACGTTCTCCCCATTTTAATTTTCCCGAAAAGATATTCATGTACCATGTTTCTTCGAGGTCAGGTGCAGAAGAATCGTTTTTATACATTGATTCTTAAGATTCTGTAAGAAGCCAAGGAGGAGCTATATATAATTATTACTTATAGGCAAGATCAAAGGAGGGAGTTCCTTTAAATGTGTCGTGATTGTGCATTTTTACAACTGAGAAGAAAAGAAGAGTATTATTTTCCTCATCCATGAGGAGAAAATCCTCCTTTCTTATGATGACTATTGAATTTATTATATGTCTAAACACCTTTCGGAGCATTCTCATCAGTGTCCTACTAATATGTGTACCTTCTATTCTGTGTCCATTTTCTTTAATTACAGTAACTGTCTCTTTATTCTATGATTAACTGAATTCTTATTCTTTCCTTTCTTTTCTATTTTTAAGATTCTTCCTTGACATTATAATTCTATTGTTTGTTAAGGAAGTTTAATTATCGATTTGGTATTCTCTCTTCTGAAAGATATGGCGGCAGGAGCCCTTTTAGAATCTGTCAGGAAAAATAGACTCTGCACAATTTAGTAGCCTGTATCTGTTGTTTTCAATTCATTTTTTCTCTGTTTCAATTTACCTAGGCGAAGTTCCTTTTCTTTTCAGTTTTTATAATGTAGTCCTGTATAGAATGCTGCCTGAATAGCGATACCTCATTGTAAATAAACTTGAGCAGCCAAAGGGACATTATTCATCCTTTAATAAGAAGGGGTGACTATTAGGAACCTGCAAATGATTAATAAAAAAGAAGATAAAAATCCTAATAATAATTCGTGAAATTAAATGTCCCCTGGGACTAAGGCCGTTCATACTCTTTATAGACATAATAAGGGACAATAATGTTATAATAAAGGGCGAAATTAATTACTGCCCCTATGCAAATGGTTGCGTAAAACATCCCACGAAAGTTGAGTATTCAGACTCCGAAGGTAGAATGGACAGACCCAATGTATCGACTAGCATCCGTAGGAAAAATATAATTTGGAAGAGTCTGACTATTTTACCACCCCTGTGATGCACTGTATTAGGAAATTTCACAATAGATTAAATGGTTTCTATGTCGATGAGGATTGGGGGGGGCCGCAGTATGCAATTCCTAGATAACAAGATATATGGAAGAAAGACTGAGCCTACCTAAGGATTTAGTTTATGTCAGCATGTCAAGTATGGTTTTAGGGATGTTACAAATATTAGGGAACTCCCCAATTAAAAAATATAGGACTAAAAATAAAGCGCTGTATGGCCAGATTTTGGATCCTAACTTCTGAGATGCTACGATCAGAAGATTGCTTCCTATCTCTGGGCGTGTGGGATTCCTAGTAGACGCCTATTGCAGAATCCGTTCAGAAGGTGAGTGATTCCGAGTATCCGTATAGAATGTAGTTGTGTCTTAGATATTTCATTGAGTATAATAAGAATAAATATAGGAAGACAATTACCTCTATAATTACTTAAGAGCTTTCGAAAGGAATCCTCAATTCAGACGGAGAAACAAGAGACATAGCTGAACAGATTCCTTTATATGTATTATTCATGGTAACAGAAAATTCTGATGTTACTGTGGCGAAGCATTATTGTTTTGCAGCCAACACAGTATAAACGGAGATGGAATCCCGACACAGGAAAACATACGGCCTATCAGGATTCGTGGAGCCTAGAATACAGGGGTTTCGAGGAATATCGTGGAATTGATTATGAGTGCGTCTTCAGAAGTGAGCAATACGTCCAACAACAGCATGCCATATAGGCTAACCGGGGCCTATGCCTTGATTAGTATAGGAGGTTTCTTTCTCTGAGCAGGACACTCAACAGATCTTTCTTCCAAGGTAATGTGCATGCATCTGTTACAAGTACGGGGATAAGTGATAATGACGCAAATATGGGCCGAACCACCCAATCATAGCCTACTTGATACGTCTATTCTTTTTTTTCTTTTCTATGGTAATTATAGGTGAGTATGTTACTGTGTATTGTTCGTGTTTGTATGCCCATCTGAAGCTCTTCCCTGTACCGGTTAGCAGAATGATCTCCTAAGTGAAACATTTAATTTTGTGAGATGTAACTTGAGGGTTTCTTTCGTGAAACGTTACCCCTCACATACAAATGATGAGTAATAAAGGAGGAACGAGTTTATTTAGGATTACCAACCTATAGTGGCAATCGCATAACCATAGCACTTCTACTGTTTGGCCCATTGTTTTTATGCTTTGCCATTAAAATTTCGTGGATGAACGAGGACACTTCAGAAAAATCCCTTCATATAATACCTGCAGCGTGTGAACCTCATTTCTTTCTATGTTTATAACAATACTTGCATATTGAACAAGCTGAAATAACATCAGGGTGCCATTATAAACAGAGGGCATATGACAAGTAGATAGAAGAGAAGCTAATGAAGGACAAACAACGGGTGTGATGCATTGTCAATTCTAAATGTTAATTACTATTCCACACTAGGGTTATTGTTCATTGAGATCAGACCGATTGTGCATAAAGCTACAGGTGCCCCAACCTTATAGTATGCCAGGTTTTATAGGGAATAGGAAGAGGATGGAATTGCCTCAGTTGTTTCTACAGTGAAAAATCCTTTATTCTGTGCCTTCCATGGCACGATTATCATATCACCGTAAGTGGGATGAGGTATGTGGAGGTAGGGAGGTGTCATTTAGAGAGTACCATCTCTATCTTAAATTCTTCCTGAATACTGCGTCTTCATATAGCAGTGGATGAGCCTAGCACGGGTGCAGTAAGCTATGGAGGGAAACCTCCTGTATCAAATAATGGCTGAAGTGTGTTGCTCTTTTCATAATGATATAATTTACATCCCGCAGTACAGTGGCCATAACGCCTTATAGAAGGATAGACTGGACATTTGTTATAAATTTGGGAAAAGTGTCATATCATTTTTAGAATCTAACTGTCTTGGTGTTTATGCCACCTATATTTGGCCCAAAATACCCTTAGTATAGAGTGTAGTAGTAGGATTTGTATAGGTTTGCGGAGTACTTTTTAAAGCATGTTGAAGAATTAGAAAATCCATTTCGCTTTCTAAATGGATGCTACGCGTAACTGGAGGAGGAGAAAATTTTCATGAAGTGAAATTTAAATCTTACACGGATCTACTTACCACCCAATTGTAATATCCCTTTTTAGGCCTGAATGATCAGAAACAGCTTTCTGAATTCAGGCGCCATGAGTGAAATACAAGTTGATTAAGATTCCTTTGCACCCAAATTATCCGTGCGCGGAAGTTACATCTGGCGCATACTATGAATAAATGGTACTTTAAAGGGGAACAAATTTACGTTGAACCGTCGCCTTTTTCTAATTTACTGCAACTCCATAAGAATACAAGCTGTTCATTTTTAGAGACACTGGAGTGTAGAATAGAAGGAACACCGAAGAGGGAAACTCCTCTATGAACAAATATGTATACTTTAAAATAAATTTAACACAAGTAAAATTAGGGAAGTTTCCTTAATTAAAATTAATGAGGAAAACGAGAAAGGAGCGAAACAGCGGCGAAAAAGAAAAAAAGGAAAAAAAAAAAAAAAAAAAACGAAAAAACAAAAAAGAGAGAAACGCAAGAAGAAAAAAAAGGCCAGAAACAACAGGAAAAGAGAAAAAAATCCAAATCCAACAGAAGGAAACAGATACAAGCAGGAAAAGGAAAAAAAAAAACAAGGGCAAGCAGAGAAAACCAAGAACAGTAGGGAAACAAACAGAAAAGGAAAAAATAAAAAACAGAACAAGGAAACAAACAGGAAATCATCGGATTCAATAATATGTACCCTTATAAGCGAGTGACCCATATTATCATGCGATAATATCCCAAATTATTGTGATAAAAAGTCAGGAACCTCTGTTTACTTCTCCAGTAAACTATGTATTTCTGTGGGGCGAATATATAGAATCATAGAATACGGCCGCATGAATTGAACATATCAAACCTTACTGATCCAAGAGAAAAGGAACAGAAGATGTTACTGAGGAGGATAACCATTTAAACCAATAGAAAACGAGAAGAAGAATGTGAGTTCTCATGTATGAACAAATGTATCATTAGCCAACAGGAGCATCATAGGAACAACTGAAAGGAGAAGTCTTCTTCTGCTTTCAAACTTTTTGATCTAATGCACCGGTTACTACAGCACATATATGCTGCTGGGATCAAGAAAGGATGTGGACAACAAATGTACTACTTTATGTGATATGTTATATTATGATTACTTTTTAAGCAAAGGTAGGCTTATTCCAAAGACACCGGACAATTCCATATGCTCTGCATTTGTGTCGGATACGATATATCCTAATTTGCAGGTGTGTAACCGGCAATATGTTTTATCTTTTTCTTTCTTGATTCTAGTAGCGATGGCGTTCACCCCTACAATAGGAGATACATAAATTCCACCCTTATTGAAGCGATCTATGTGTACAAGGAATGGAATAAATGCCATTCACGTGTATAATGGAAGAATACACAAGCAAATAATTACAGCATTGCGACAGAGGAATGTGTTATATATTTCCTAGAACTCCTGGAGTTTGTCTATGTTGTGGTATATATATATGTTTCTTCTTTCCGTCCGCTCCTATTCGGAACGTATGATCTTTTTCTTGAGGGTATTTTATTAGAGTATGAATTCTACTGTGGCGTCTTGATATGCCTCCCTCCTCCTTCTTACGACGCCGTAGGATTCCAGCTTCGCATTTCCTCTAACATCCTTCCTCCTCTGTGTTTTATAGGAAACTGGGACTCCATCGAGTGTAGGCAAATAAATAAAAATTCGCATATTTGACAGTTCCAATTAAATAAGAAGGAGGGGCGCTAATCTATTTCTACCCATTGCGTAGGTTTCTACGCTCTTATTTATGATGGGTGTTTAAGGACACAATGAAGCCGAATATATGCAGTCATGTCTTAGAAGAATCATTACAAATAGGAGATTTCTTACCTTTGGTTTTGCATCTTTTCATTCCTAGGTTTCTATAGGTTATGGGAATCTCGTCTCCCTCCTGTTTTGGAAGAAACGTGGCACAGAATCCTTGAAGAAATATTCTGCGTCCTACACTGTCCCATGAGATTATGAGTTAGTATTAGGCAACTGTATGTGACCTATGCATCCTATTGTGATTCGGCTTCATCGCTGAGTTGATTATTTTTCCAATCCGTTAAATATTTTACTTACGTCGGGTCGGCCTCTCCGGACGGTTATGTCCTCCCCGTTCAAGGAATTGTAACTCTTCTCATGGTACATGTATTCCATATCTATGAAATTGCCCTGCGGTTATGCGCATTAGGCAAAGACTCAGGAGCGCCATTCCAATATAAAATGTATCCATGCCCGTTATATTCCGTCCCGGGGAGTGCTGTTCTCCGACTACTTTAGTATGATGGTGGTGAATTTTCCTGTATAATTCTCTGTCCCCTTATTCCTATATGCGGCTTCGAGACCACTGTGTTGTATACTCAGAAATTGTATCTCATTTTGGATATTCCAGAAAAGTTATGTTCATATCTGTTATGTGTGGGTACGTTTCCATATCCTCTGCGTTCGTACAATTATTTATTTGGTTGTAGAAGTACGATTTCATGTTCTATGGATCCTGGTCCTCCTTGTATCCATCGAGGACCATGAAAAGTAGGGGTATGCACAACTTATTTACTGCTTCTTCTGTAAGTGCACAGAATTGTTTCGTATTCATTTCCTGTTTTGTTTCATTGCATCTAGATTCCGACCTGTTCCTGAGGGTTTTATGTATTACATAATTGGTTGTGTGCTGGTACTGTTCGATAAATGTGTCAAGCTACCTACCTTGAGTGTACTCCTCTATAAATATGTGCTATTCTGAAACCGAATTGTTTCATACAAGTTTTTACATTCGTATGAAGAAAGTATGTGTTTCCCCGTTTAATCTATTGCCTTCCGACAGGACACTGTTCTGGAAAGACTGTTGTTACTTCTTGTGTCCTTGCTGTAAACTGTAGAAATAACTTTTTTCTTTGAACATATCAAGGAGATAGTCGTGTCTATCTTCCGAGATATACGACAGATGTTTCAATATATGCGGATTACCCCAATTTTCTGCATGGACCCTGATTCAGTTGTTGCGTCAGGTAATTTCACATGTTACACTTTCATCCCTCATAAATCGATACATGATGATCTCAACGAAATCTTCGTTGGTAAGTTCGCTGTCTTCCTTTCTATAGTTTCCTAGGACTTCAGTATGTATATCTGCATTCTGTTTTATGGATATTTTTTCTCCCATTTCTGGTTGGATTCGGTAAGACTAAAGAGGTCCTGCATTCATGTGTATTCATTGCAACGTGAAGGTATACTGGCCCAGTGGAAAGCCAAGTAAAAGGAAAGGTTTTCCTCAACATAGACAATTGGCTCAAGGTTCACACAGACTGTGGAAAACATTTTTGTTAATTATTCAGTTAATAATTAACTGAACGAGTGCATAATTATTTATTATGATAACAGAGGGCTCATCCCCGTGAATCTCATATCTTCTGAGAGATATATGACTTTGGATATAAAGTCCTAGAGAGAATTGCGCATTTTTTGTCGATCTTATTAGAATTGCTGAATTTCTCACTACTTGAATTTTATATTAATTCAGAGGGAGATTCATTTTGAATAAAGTCATTGACTAAATCGAATTAAGTATAAGTGTCAATAGTAAGAGTTTAGCATTCTTCACAGTAAAATAGAATGCTTAAGAGACAAGATATTCCAGTAACTATATTTGAAGGTTGATTTTTTCTGGTTACGCGAACCAATAACTATTACAAATGTGCTGACAGGGTTTCATTAATGTGGTCCCGACGATAACATATTGTGCTCAAGAAATAACCGGAAAAGAAACATAAAAATATGATTACTACACCTGTATTTAAAGTAAGATAACCTATAACTGAATGAGAGTATGTAAATCAAGAGGAAACGGGATTAGATAAACAATGAGTATTATAATTGTGCACCAATTAAATGTGATCCGGCGCAAGGATATATGAAGGTGGGAAAAGACATAATGAAAAAATTTGGGGGATAATAATAATATATTACAGTGAATACATCATGAAAATTGAGAGCAGTTCCCAGTATTAGATTATGAACAAAAGCTAAGAATAAGGGATATGTGTGAGTATAACGACGTTTTCCATATTGCATATCATTGATTACAGTAAATTAAAAAGAAACATGGAACATTCCTCATTTCCAAGGGTTAAGCGAATTTATATTCTGCCCCTCAACTGTGCGTGTATCAATTTCGAGAAGGATCAGAAGCGTGTCAGCCTCAGGGATACAGATAATTCACATGTTTCCATATACTGTTAACATTTATCGATAACACCCTAAACAGTCTTGAGCCCTTTACAGGTTAGCATAGAACATATAGATACGGGCGTATATACATAAATATATGTATTCTTTTTTTTCTTTTTTTTTTTCTTTTTTTTTTCTTCTTTTTTCCTTTTCATTTTTTTTCTTTTCTGTTTTTTCCTTTCTTCTTTTCTTTCTTTTATTTTTCCTGTTCCCTTTC